TTTCTCCAGATTAAAATTTATAAAAAATTATTTGCGTTCAACAATGAATCAAGATCGTTTGGCATCTCTCGCACTTATGTCTATTGAATACGACATTTTGCGTAGTTTGGAATTCGACAGCATAATACAAGATTTCGTTGAATCCAAAAATCGCAAAAAAGTAATATATTAGATCATAAGATTCTGCAAAATAATTTATTACCGAAAAATATTATATTTTTATTTGTATCTTCATAATTTTGTGCAAAATACACTTGTTGTTTTTAAAGCTAAATTATTTTTGTCAACAAATTTTTTTCTCCCAAGTTTTTCGCAGGCCCCTGAATTTCGTAGGCCCTAGGCACGTGCCTAGTGTGCCTATAGGTTAATCCGGCCCAGCGTATATGTTATTACCTGTCCGTGTTATCCCTGTTTTGTGCTATCCTTTCTATCTTCTTTTTCCACAATATTATTTAACTATCTAACATCAAGTTTACTAACCCAAATAATTTTAACATCAATGGCCTTTGATTCAGTTTGTAATCATATCATTTACGGAGGTGGCCTTTCTGACCAGGTACGCCAATTACTAGTACTCCAGTGCACCAATTACTAGTTTCCGCAGTTCATTGTCACGTTTTTAAGTTTAATGAGAAATCGTTTGTTTTGAAATTTTCTGGCTCAGTTTAAAATTGGAAAAAATCCTTCGCAACAACCTCAAATGTTGAAGGGTAAGGTAAAAGGAATAATAGCAACTTAAACAATTATAGCTCAAAATATTTCCCGCTTTAAAAACCAATTTTGATGTATTAGACGGTCAACTTCAAACATAATAATTAATTAGGTCAACTAAAATCAAACATAAAAATGTGATTTGAATAAACATACTTTTCTTTAATGAATATAGAATTTTAATCATCAAAATAAAGAGTGTAGCCACATTCTGAATACTATAATCTCAAATTGTCTAGATCAGACGAAAGTATAGGCTCCTTAATCATCATTGCACTTTTTGCTGCACCTAGGGTTTTGAAAGCCATCATCATCAGTTAGTTTTGAAAGCCATTCTAAAACATTTTGCACAAAATTATAAAATGAGCCTACCCAAAGATAATTTCATGCAAACAATAATTTAAATAATTATTTTATTTATTAATAATGCCATTTGTGATTACATCCCAATGATGAGCATTCTCAACCTTGCACTATGCTCAGACTGGTTATCAATTATTATTATTTATTTAAGTACGTTTGTTTATTGAACTGTTGAGTGTTTAGATTTTAAAATAAATAACTTGTCACTATTTATACTCATTTTGTTATTTAAATAATATTTAGCTATTTCTAAGACTTTCCACTATCATTATTCTATATTAGAGAGATATTTTAATTTGCTTATCAAAAAAAAAAAAAAAAACAATGAATGAAGGTGGAGAAAGCTGAAAGAAAATACTTACTTACCTTTATACTTACTTAATTAATACTTACCTTTCAACTGAAGAATCTCTATTTTTTTCCAGCAATCAAAAAAGTTCTGATGTTTTTAATCCCTGTGTTTCTCATTAGAGAGTTTCATCCAGACATTGTTTCTGTTTATAATTAAATCTTATTATTTTCGAAAAATATTTAAATTAATCAAATTAATTCTTATTATATTCGAAAAATATTTAATATCTTCCAATATCAACGATCTGAAACAAAACATTCGTTTAATTCATAAGTTGTGCAATTGTTTTCGATGCTCCTCTTTTTATTGAAAAATTTATTAGTTTTGAGTTTTTGGCACAAGAGACTAAGAAGCAGGCTATACAACACCTAACACTTGGTTTATATTTTGAGAACAATTTAAATTTTGATTACTCATCACTGTCTGTAGGGAGCTAGATTTCGATGAGGGATCGAAAAATGTGTACTAATTATTTTGGCACACTTATTATATTTATTATTTTCTGTTACAGGTGTTCTATTGGCTTCACTTACGTATGAAGGGGATGAAAACAAAGTTTCCTTGCTTGTTTTGGATGCTAAAACTATGAAGGAAATTGGAAGAGCAACATTTCATGCGAAATCTTCTGTTCCTGGAACATTTCACGGAATATTCGTGGATAAAGTTTAAATTGCATATAAAGCTCTATAAACATGCAACATATTTTGTTCCAGAATTATTTTATAATATTGAAAATAATTTTTTTAAATGTGTATTTGAAAGCAAATGTATTTTTGTACTGCTATTGTAATTAATAAAATTGAAATATAACGATTATAGATGTATATAAAGATGTATGGGATTCCTAAAAATGTTAATGAGTTCAGCCCGGCAACCTGTTCTTTTGGAACTGAGAGGTTTTAAATTCTTCTTTTGTATTTGAGTTCCGAGTTCCTATATATATATTTTTTTTATTACTTGGCTACAAATATAACGAACGTTTGTGCAAAACACTAAACACTTATAAATTTTCAAAGTACAAGTATTTGACGCATAATATAATACTAAGCAAATTTATCACATGCATAGTCACGTACAATATATATGTGTGTGTGTAAGGGAGATAGAGAGCCTACTTCTACTCTAAGTGAGAGGAGAGACTCAGGCATTCTTTGTGAATCATTGTGTCGGAACGAAACTGAAAAAGCCTGTGTGGCAAACAAAAAGACTTTTATTTACTATTATCATAAAATGTCTGTGTGACAAATTTTAAATCTACAATAAGTTTATGTTATTTTTCCAAAGTTATTAAATTTATTTGTTATGTTTAACGAACTGGTTATTTCGTATTAGTATACTTTGAAGTAGCTCGGTCTGCATCCCTGATATTTTGATGTCAGAAGAGTTCGTTGTAATTGGATAAAGGAAAATTACGAATTTGTGAGTACTATGTTTTCTGACTATCATTCAGTGTGATTAATAGAGAAAAATAAAATAATGAGCTTCTTGTCCAGATCTAGAAAGGAAGATCTGTTAAAACTAGCAGAAGAATTAGGGGTTACACTTCCTCCTAGTTCTAAAATTATCAATATAACACAGCTAATTACTTCCGATACTAAATATGATGAAATATTTACGAAAAATGTGTTCGAAAATGTTGTTTCGGAACGCTTGGAACAAGCTACTGCCGAAAAAGAAAAATTAGCATAGGAAATTCAGCTTGAAAAGCTTAAAGGGGAAAATTTAAATCGGCAAAACGGAACTCCGACTCCAGCAACAGGAACATTAAAAACAAATGACTTGTATAAACTAATTAAAAGTTTTGATGCCAACGTAACCGATATCAGTACTTATTTACAGCTATTTGAGCGACAAGCAAGCAGAATAAATATAAATAAAATTGAATTCGTCACGTATTTAATGGAACTTCTCCCACTGAGCATTGTTCAAATAATTGCTCAAGAGCCGGAACAATTAACTGCAGACTATAATTTTGTTAAAACTTTGCTTCTGAAACGCTTTATTTTTTCCCCGGAACAATTCCGTCAGAAATTTTCTTTCCATAGAAAAGAAGTAAATGTTTCTTGGAGAGATTTTGCATATCAATTAAACCACTATTTTGACGAGTGCATTAGCGGTTTGAAAATAAGACTTTGACAAGCTAAAAGAATATATGGTCGTTGACCAAGTAAGAAGAAAATTACCGTCAGATATTCGCGAACATTTATTGGATGATTTACACCAAATAACTGAATTAAGTGTACTGATTGATAAGCTAGAAACATACGAAAACGCGCAAATAATAAGAAAAAAAGTAGACACCTCTAATAAGAATTCAATCTTTAAAACCAAAACATTTCCAATTCAACAAAAATTCGATATCTTCCTTTTCTTCTGGTTTGAATTATCCGAATCAAAATAAAGATATGGCTCATATAAAATGCTATAACTGCTACAATTATGGGCATATAAGTGAAAATGTGATCAATTAATCAAAAAGTGTAGAAATTGTAATAAATCAGGTCATTCCAGTCATGAATGTACCGAAAGAAACGTACAAATAATTCAACTAACTCGTATTGATAAAAATATTGTAATATTTAACAGTAAAATTAATGCAATTATAGACACAGGCAGTGAAATAACCATGTGTAGTGATGTATTACATCAAAAATTTCCTCCTATCCCCCTCTAATTGTCCAATATTATTTTATCTGGAATAAGCAAAGAGCCTATTTCCCCATTGGTTGGTTTAATACAAACATAGATATAGATAATTTTATGCGTAATGCTAATATTTATGTTATTGATAAAATGCAATTCGATTTTATAATCGGTATGGATGTGCTTAATTGTTTAGACATCAATTTTGCTAAAGGTAAATTATTTGTTAAAAATGCATCTATCCCCGAAACAGTTAACGTTAATACAATCATAAACCGCCTCTCTTTCAAATTGTTTTTATTCTTCCGATATTTTTCAGTCAAATAAATATTCAAATAATTTAGAAGCTTTTTCTTTCTTAACTCAGATCTCAAATGTCATTGATCATAATGAATACGAATTATGGCATATACTGAATAAGAAATTAAAGCAGGATTTAACTCTTTTGATTAATAATTATAAGCCATTGCAAATTAAAACAACAAATATTAAGAGGAATATAATATTAACAAATGAAATTCCGATAGCTCAACATGTGCACCTTTAGTTTTATGCAAAAAAAAAAAAACGATAATTCTACAAGTGTTTGTGTACATTTTCGTAAATTGGACAAAAAAATTGTTCGAGATCGTTTTCCCCTACCCCTTTTAGAAGATGTAATTGATCAGTTAGGTGAGGCTACAGTATTTAGCAGTTTAGATTTGAAAGCAGCTTTTCATCATGGCGATGAAAAGCTGCTGAAAATAGTCGTAAATACACTTCATTTATTACACATAACGGACAATACGAATTTCTAAAAGTACCCTTTGGTTTAGCAAATAGCCCTGGTGTTTTTCAAAGGTATATTGTGCATGTGTTTCGAGATCTTAATTAGAGATAAAACTTTAGTGATTTACCCAGATCAGGGATAAGCAGCATGCGGCCCGCCAAGCATTTCTAAAATTGAATTTATTTTATCCGATTTACCGATTTAAAATTTAATTTTCAGTGCTCCTAGCACGCAGGGCTATCTACACTTTCATCGAATAGTGAGAAAACAATAAGGGAGGAAAGGGGGTCAGGGGGCGTGCAGGCGTTCTGCATATAAATGAGATAAACAGTTTAGAATTAGTTGGCGCCAACACGGGCGCAGTCTGGGTTAAATATATACACATAATAAAGTGATTACATTGAACAATAAATACGCATATGATGAAATTAAAACTGAATAATAATTAGAGAATATATACAAATAACGAAATAATTACATATGTACATCGAAGAGCGTTTGAACGTGGAAATTTGAAAGGCCCTTTTTAGGGCCATTCACCCATCGTATTGCTAAAAAATTATTTATAATAAAATGGTAGTACATACTTAATCGAAATTTTTTTTGTGACGAGTTACTCACTTGTCGGCGACTTGTTCAAACATGCAATACGAACGCGCCGCGTCTGTGCTTGTTTGTGTTTGCTTCTGTGGCGGCAGCACTTGCAACCATCTCTGTGTTGTAGCGCCACCTATAGACTGGCTTGCCGCAGTTAGAAAGTGAGGCTGAAGCGGAAACACTTGTCTGTGAACACTATCAGATAAAAACACTCTACCGGCCAATTCCTGGCGAATGACACACGTTGTTATGTCTGAAAGTTATAAGTCGTTGATATTGCAATTAATGCTAGAAATGTATAATTATAATGCGTAAACCTGTTGATTATAAATAAATGTGCGTTCCGTGATAAATGCATTTTATTGATTCATTCGAGGCACTCGACCCTTCTGTCACACAATCAGTCAAACTGGTAAGCTGTTAACTAGCAATTCTTGTGTCTCTTGAAAGGCGTGAGTGCAATCCATAATAGCATGTCGGAAAAGCAAACAAAAAAACGAAAGGTTGCGATTGAGCACAGGCATTTCCGAGAAAAGTGGAAATTTGATTATTTTTTCACTTTCATCAAAGATAAAGCTACATGCTTAATATGCTCAGAGACTGTGTCGACATTAAAAGAATATAACATAAAAAGGCATTACGATACAAAACATGAACAACAATATAAAAACTTAACAGGACAACTCCGGATAGATAAGTTTAATAAAATGGAGAAAAACTTGGGAAACCAACAGGCGATTTTTAAAAAAAATCAAGCTATTTTACCAAATACGGCAGTAAAGGCTAGTTTTGTTGTCAGTCAAATACTGGCAAAAAAAATGAAACCCTTTGCGGATGGAGAGATGATTAAAGAATGTTTGACTGCTGTTGCAGAAATAGTATTTCCTGATAAAATAAATATTATTTCAAACATTAGTTTTCACCATTGCAAGGAGAATTGAAGACTTGTCCGAGAACATAGTAACAACGCTTCGTGAACGCATTGCAAAATTCGAATACTGTTCTTTTTTTTTTTGGCACTTGATGAGAGTTGCGATATTAGCGATACAGCACAACCTGCTATATTTTTAGGTGGTATTGACACCAAATTTAATATTCCCGAAGAATTGTGTTCACTGATTCCAATGCAAGGGACTACAACCGGCAAAGACCTGCACGATGAACAAAAGGCTGTGTTTGAAAAATTTTCAATTTCATTAGAAAAGATTATTGGTATATCGACAGATGGATCACGTGCAACGTCAAGCATGAAGGTAAGAGTATCGGGAAGGTTATTTCAAGACATTAAGAAGGTCACGGGAAGGGAAATATTCGTTAACCACTGCATAATTCACCAGGAAAATTTGTGTTTCGAAAAGATTGAGTTTGCCAAATGTCCCAGTACCAATAACTAAATTAATCAATTTTATAAAGTCGTGCGCGTTAAATCACCGTGAATTTAAAGAATTCCTGAAAGATTTAGAAACTGAATATGGCGACGTGTTTTTTAAAACCGACGTACGTTGGCTTAGTAGAGGTGCAATGCTAAAAAGAGTATACAACTTAAAAAGCGATATACAATTGTTCGTGGATATGAAAGGATATGCCTTTCCTCATTTTGGTAATAAAGAATGGATGTTCGATTTTTGGTTTCTTATCGACATGACTTAGCATCTCAATGGTCTTAATGTGGAACTTCAAAGCAAAGGACAGTTTATTCACAATTTGTATGATAAAATTCAGGACTTTGAGCGAAAATTAAAATTGTGGAAACAACATTTTTTGCAGAATAATGTGTCTCATTTTGAAAAAGAAAACGTTACTACTTCTCAAAAATACGCACAATATATAGACATTTTAATCAACAAATTTCAATTACGATTCCAAA